CCACGTTGGCGGCGTCTTCCCACGCTTTGCCTAAGGCAGGCTTGGATGGGGGCTGGTAGCCACCCGCTAGGGAACTTGCGCCTGGGGGCAGGTACCAGCAAGTGCCTCCTCCACAGAAATCCGCGGGCCAGGTACCTCCTCCCCTGTAACCCCCGTCCCACTGCGGCTCTCTCCTCTCTCCTCTCTCCCCCCCCCCCAAATCTCCTCTCCTCTCTATTCCACTCTCCCCGTGTCTGTCTCGCTCCTCTCCCTCCCTCCTCCGTCGCTCCGCTTCCTCTCTGTCTTGACATCTGTCTTGACATTTGTCTCTCCTTTGTCTCGTCTCTCCTTTCACCCTCCTGTGCCGCCTACCTGCTGCTATCTATCTTTCTCTCGCTGTAGTCCCCCTTCTTGGTTGTCAGCCTAGGTTAATCCGCTCCCGGTCACTCCTTGTGTCCCTCCGGACAACTCTCCCACCCCGTATTCACCCACCCTAAATCAGCCCTTTGCCGTCCCCGCCGTTGCAGGTCTGAATACGATCCCTACTACGGCTTTGTTCTCTGGCGAATTGGGCTTGGTATTCTGTGTCCCGTCCACTACCCCGATTTATAGCATTGCCCAGTCTCCGGTATCCTGAAATATCCAACGATCCCTACTTCTCCCTTCCCGCATCGTGTTCAATCGAGCCCCAACCCTTTTTTACAATCAGGTGGAAAGCAAACTGCTAGAGACCCTCTCGCGGGCTAGACGATCAAGGTCTGCCGCACTGCGGCGGCCGTGAGTGACGGGTTGGGTCGCATTGTTGTCGTGTGCTCTCTGTCGATATGGCGCCCTTCTTTGGCAAGTTAAGAGGCAATGCGGTACGCTCTTCCCTGGAATTTTATTCCTTGTTTATTGTATCTGACTCTGGAAAATGTTTTGGTGTTTCTAGGGAGCTGGTACTCCAGCCTCTCCGACCACTCCGGTCAAGAAGGACATCCTTCCTCTACCTATGACGCCGCTTGAGAAGATGTTGCAAGACGCAGGCCCGTTGCGGAATGACGGCAGTGATAAATTTTTCGGAATGGAAAACGTGAGTGCTCTGGAATTCCTCCCTCTTCTTTTGATTTTGGGAGACGGAAGGTTGCTAAAATTTGTTCGTTTCACTATGTAGGCTCAGTATGGAAATACATGGTTAGTCCCATTGTGCTCGTTCATACAACGGCTTGTAACATCCGTGTGCTGATGGCTATAGTTACTGCAATTCGATCCTCCAATGTCTTTACTATTCAGTGCCCTTTCGAGAATCCGTTATAAACTACCCTAGACGCTCCCCCATAGAAAGCCTCAACGAATGCCTCGCAAAAAATTTACGTTACCCAGACCCAAATGCGCCAATGGAGGATAAACAGGAAGCTAAACAAAAAGCGGCTGCTAACTCTTCGGCCAAGGGTGGAGCAACTCCTCCGGCGCAACAACCGCCAAAGCCAGAGGATAAAGACTCTCCAGAATATAAGAAAAAAGTTGCGATGCACAGGCTTCCAATTCTAGAAACAACAGATAATGCCACAAGCTATGGGATGCAAGAATCACTTTTTACATCACTGAAAGATATTTTCGAAGCTATAGTTGCTAGTCAAGAGAGGATGGGTGTCATTCGGCCTTACACCTTTCTCGAAGTTTTGCGACGAGAGCATGAAATGTTTAGAACAGCGATGCATCAGGACGCACATGAATTCCTTAATTTACTGCTAAACGAAGTGGTAGCTAATGTGGAAGCAGAAGCCAAACGTTCACCACCTCCAGAGCTGGACCAGCAGTCGGAGAATGGTGAAATGTCAGTGAATACCACAACCACAGGGTCTGTAGCTACGACGCTGGCGACCTCCAACACCTCTAAATCACCGAATACCACACGATGGGTGCATGAGCTTTTTGAAGGGACTTTGACCTCAGAAACCCAGTGCCTTACATGTGAGAATATATCGCAGAGAGATGAAGTTTTTCTAGATCTATCTGTCGATCTTGATCAGCATTCGTCAGTAACGTCATGCTTACGAAAGTTTTCAGAGGAGGAGATGCTCTGTGAACGGAATAAATTTCATTGCGACAATTGCGGAGGACTGCAAGAGGCTGAAAAACGAATGAAGATTAAACGATTACCGCGCATTTTAGCACTTCACCTAAAGCGCTTCAAATACACCGAGGATTTACAAAGACTCCAAAAGCTATTCCATAGAGTGGTGTACCCGTATTACCTTCGATTATTTAACACTACCGACGATGCAGAAGACCCGGATCGTCTCTATGAGCTTTATGCTGTCGTTGTCCACATTGGTGGTGGGCCTTATCACGGCCACTATGTTGCCATCATCAAAACAGAAGACAGGGGGTGGCTGCTTTTCGACGACGAGATGGTGGAGCCAGTTGACAAGAATTACGTCCGCAACTTCTTTGGGGACCGGCCTGGATTAGCCTGTGCATACGTGCTCTTCTACCAAGAAACAACTTTCGAAGCGATGCAAAAAGAGCAGGAAAAAGAAGGCATGACTCCGGAAAATCGAGCATCCGTGGACACCAAGGATTTAGTTTCCGCCTCGCAATCCAGAATGAATGGCTCCGCTACTGGCTCCGACGAAATAAATCGCGTACATACAGTAATCCCCGCTACTGACTCCGCAGTAACGTCGCCCCTGAAAAAAATACCAACTGCACCGCAGCCATCTGCACAACCCGAGAATTCGACCTCTGGTTTCGCACCCCTCCCACACCCCCCACAAATTCCTGTGACGCCCCCCTCGGCCCCCCTTAATTCTAAAAAGAGTGACGCTGCCTTCAAAAAAGAGCGAGCAAAGGAAGAAAGGGAACGGAAAGCCGCAGAGAAAGAGAAGGAAAAGGCACAGAAACAAAAACGAAAGGAACTAGAGGCTAGATTGAAGGAAGAAATTAAGCGGCAAGACGCCGACCTCAAGGCGGCGTTGGAGCTTAGTAAAGCTTCTAAGACTGAGGAGGACCGACGCATCGCAGCTGCTCGGAACGGTAAAGAGAACGGCCAATCTGGAGGATTGGGTGGAGGACTTGGTCGATTCAAACTGGGCAGTAGGAGCTTGAGCCAAGGTAGATTATATTACAGGGAAAAAGAAAAGGGCGCAAAATCATCGACAGACACGCCGCCAGTGCCCGCACTTCCAACGTCCCCGGCCCTCCCATCGCCCGATCTAGGTCCTAGAAGTCTAGCTGCGGAAAGTAGCCTAGATAACAATTGGCCTTTGAAGGAAGAAGTATCCTCCCCCGTGCCAACGGACTCCACCACCCGTAACAAAGATGATGGCAGCGCAACCCCAAAAATACGACCAAACACATCAAGCTTCTTCAATAATATGAAGATTCGGCAGCGAGAGGTCCCAAACAACAGCAACCGTACCAGTGACCATACCAATACCAATAACATCAACGATCACAGCCATAGCCACCATGCTCACACTCACAGCTACGACCACGCTCAAAGTCAAAATCAGAATCCAACCTACAATGGCACCGGCAGCGTCAATAAAAATAACGGGAAGCCGCTGCAGTATGCAACATCAAAGCGCAGCCGGTTCAGTTTACGAAAGAAATCGTTCAGCGTGATATAATTCTTTGTAGTCTACATTACATCGCTCTGGGCTTGGGCAGGATAGGATGCATTTCACGTCCACGACCCCTCCTTTTATCTAGCTAGTGATATTTCTTAAAGTCGGCTCTGTCCTCACATTTCTCCGCGCTCCTAAATCCTTCCTCCTGCCTCTCTCATGTGCCCTCCCTCAATTTTTCTTCTTCTGCTTCAGTTTCTTGCATATATGTATATGTATATGATCGCATGCGCCATCTAACGTCACCTGTCATTGGAAAAAAAAAAGAGGGGTAGGAATTGAACAAGGCCAAAGGAGGGACGTGGCATTTGTTTTTTATGTCCTAATGTCCAGCATTGTTCCCTTCTACTCCCTTAAATCTATTTTTTGCATATAGCTTTATATCTTCTTTCTTGTCTCCTCTTACTCTTTTTTTTATTTATTTTTCTGCCTGGTCTCTGCTGTACATAAACATCTATCAGGTTAGCTAGCTGTCTTTTTTCATTCCTTTCTGTTCCGTGTAGAACTTGTTTTTGTTTTTTTTTTTTCCACATTTTTGTTTATTTCCTATATCTTGTCTTCTTTGATATTTCTTCTATAACTTGACTTTGGGCTAGTTTGGCTTTGTCTTTGGTTAGGTAGGCTATTTATTTCTAGTGAACGGTTGGGTTTTTTGGGTTTTTTGCCCCTTTTTTCGTTTATTTTCTTTTTTAAGTGAGCAGTTCTGTTCCTACCTTAATTCTGCTCAATTTCAACCATCCTGCTTTATATTTAGTCGCTTTTACCTATGCTTGCTTGGCTAAATGGAGGAGGCGGAGGAAGATGATCCTCAATTCTATACCCAACTCTCGTTTCATATCAAATAACTAACCACGAGCGCTGGCGGGTGGGGAAATGTCTCCATGATCTAATTCCTATATTGCAGTGGATGTTCCCCCCTGTCAGAATACGAAAAATTCATGCCAATGCCTCCTATCTATCACTATCCTTCTACGTGCTTTTAGTTAATACTTCGGGAAGTAAAAAGGCGCTGGTGCTCTTCGTCGCGCGCATCCCTCCAACAATTGATAAGGGTATGCTTAGTGAGGTATTTAAGGTTAGCTAGCCGCATGCCATACAGACACCGCCTACACTTTGGTGGGTGAAGTGTGTGGCAGGTGGGTGAGTTGTTTCATGCTCCCTCAGCAGATGTCGTGAAAAAGGTTTGAAGGAATATAAATTGGCGAAGGAGGGTAGGTAGATGTTATGAAAGTCGGAGGAAATTGGTAAGGGGATATCAGGATAAGAAAGAAAATTCGTATATACGATCTGATTAAAAGGTTCTTTGAAATGTCCCGCTCTGTAAAAATGAAAAAGTAAAAAATCCCGTTGTTGCCCTATATCCCCCTCCCTTCTCTTTCCCAGCTTGCTTTTCTCCCTTTCTATCCCAAGATAATTTCGTAAGTTATGATTATTAGGTTAATTACGATCAGGGGAACTAGGAAGGCCTTCTGTGTCAGCAGATGATCCACCCAATATCCGCAATCTGAGAATGGGAATGAGAAGGAAGGGAACTGGGGTAAGATAAGGAATAAATAAATAAAACACTCTTGTTGAAACGTACTTCTCATAACCGTCCGCACACTTGCTATTAGATTGACAGATTTCGCTTTGATGCTTGTGTTATCGGGGGCCGCGCCAAAGCCGGGATCGTACTGTGTACGGCCCCAACCAACTATGTATTACGGCGTGTTAGTCTGAGCTTTTTGTATCTATATATTTATCTAGATACGTGTGTGCACCACGTGTATTTTTCTCGGGAGTAGCGCGCGCGGAGATGGGATGCTTACTGCGGGCCAAAAAGCGGTCTTCTGAGAGGATAGCGATGGCGTTTATGGTTAGGACGATGACTGTGGAAAGAAGTAGTTTTCGCGTTAGCTTAGGGTTCCCCTGTTGTAAAAGATAGATACATGTATATGCACTGCTGCGTGCTATGTATGTATGCTACGCCTGGGAAATTTGTCCGCGGACAGCTAGCTATCAATCCACGTACCGTAAATGAGCTTCCCCAGACCGAAGAGAAACATGGTGTCCTTTTTAGCGGCCGGCGGTGGGTTATTTGCGCATGGATGGGGAGTTGTCTGGAGTAAGGCGACCGCTCTCGCGTCTGATGCGAGGGTGTAGCGGCGTGTGGGAGGGCGTGGTTGAGTGAAGAAGTGAGGAATGCGGTGTGAACGGGGAAAAGTTGACAACAGGAAATTGAACATGTGGTGACGACACTCCTTTTGTTTTCTGCCGCCAACAACAAACCTCAGCTCCTCGTTGGTATAGAGATAACCACCACAGGAACAGACAATGGCGAGACTGACAGGTGAGTGGTGTATATTCTGCGTATCATATAGGCATAATTAACATATCCAAAACTATCATCAATAAATAATTGCTGACCATCAGCTGCAGACTGGTTTCTGCTCTCACTCTTTCCGGCGCTCGTCCTCCTCCACCTCTACGTTTCCCCCTATACAAAGGTCGAGGAATCCTTCAATATCCAAGCGATCCACGACATCCTAACTTACGGGATTCCGTCCAAGAATGTGGCCAACAGGCTCCGCGCCCAATACGATCATTTCTCCTTCCCCGGCGCCGTCCCGCGCACCTTTGTCGGGGCGTTGGTTGTCGCGGGCACAGCAAAGCCAATTCTATGGGTCAATTCGCAGCTTGATAGACAATTAGTAGGTACGAAGTTACAGAAAACCGCTATGTGGAAAATTGCTCTTTGAGTACTGCTTAACCGCTAACTTCTGACTTCAAGTGCGCGGCGTGGTGGGATGCTTTAATGCGCTTGTACTTATCTCTTACGCCAGGGGAGTTCGGCGGGCATTCGGCAAGAATGTTGCGGTCTGGTATATTTTATTCCAAGCCAGTCAGTTCCATGTCATGTATTATGCCTCTCGAACGCTTCCGAACATGTTTGCTTTCGGTATCAGTATGTCCCAATCTTCGCCCGCCGCCCCCCTCCCCCCCCTTTTTTTCCCCCCTATATCTAGCCCTTACCAGCCATGATGGATGATGCTAAACTTATTCAATTCAAAGCCACGTTTGCATTCCGATATCTCCTCCCCGAGCCCGCCTCAACAGTACAAGACGTCCAATCCCGCAAGAGGTGCCGTCTCTCCCTCTACCTCCTCACCATCACAGGCATCATTTTCCGCTCAGAAATCGCCCTCCTCCTCGCACCACAACAATCCACCTCTGGGCCAAAAATCGCATATCATTCCGCAGCGAGATTCTCCCCGCCGCCATATCCGGCCTAACAATCGGCCTCCTCAGCACAATCACCACCGACTCTATCTTCTGGCAAAAGTTCCCCTCTGGCCTGAACTCGCCGCCTTCAAATACAACGTCGTCTCCGGCCACGCTTCCGCCTGGGGCACCTCCCCCTGGCACTTCTACCTCACAAACGCCCTCCCCCGTCTCTTCCTCAACCCCATAACCTACGCTCTCTGCATCCCGCTCTCCATCCTCCAGCCTGCCACCCGCCGTACAGCAACCTCCCTACTCTTGCCCGCCATATCCTACATATTCCTCTACAGCCTCCAACCGCACAAAGAATGGCGCTTCATCCTCTATACAATCCCGCCCATAACTACCGCCGCCGCCCTCGCGCCTCCTACATCTGGACCCACCGCACAAAAACCCACATCCTCTACCCCCTTCTCGCAACCCTCCTCTGCCTATCCACCCTAACCACATTCGTTCTCTCCACATTCCTCCTCCTCCCCATCTCCGCCGCAAATTACCCGGGCGCATACGCCCTGAAGGCTCTACATAATAACCACCCTTATAACAATATTAAGAATAATTCCACCCGCCTCGCAGACCAACAAACCATCTCCGTCCACCTAGATAACCTCGCCTGTCAAACAGGCGTAACCCGCTTCCTACAGAAACCCCCGCCGAAATCACCGCTCATCATCCTCCCCGGGTCCCCTGATGGGAGGTATCCGGAGCTCCGGAGCGGGGAGCAGAGGTGGGTGTATGATAAGACAAGTGCGGGCAGTGTTATAGAAATGGAGAAGGCGAGGGTGGAGAGGTTTTGGGCAAGTTTTGATTATTTGCTTGTCGAGGTTGGGGATGGGGATGGTGATGGTGAGAGTGATCGTGATAGACCTGGTCGATGGGAGGTTGTTGATGAGATTACTGGGTTTGGAGGGGTGAGGATTTTGAGGCCTGGTGAAGGGGAGGTTAGTGGAGGGTTTGAGGAGGAGATTTTAGGGAAGGTGTTTGGTGGGAAGGCTGTAGATGGTTGGAGGTGGGTTAAGGGGTTCGGGAGGAAGTATGTTACAAGGGGCTGGTGGGTGGAGGTGCGCATCGTGCCGAAGATTAGGGTTTTGAGGCGTGTTTTGTGATTCGATATTTTGTTTTCTTTTAGTTTTAGGATTTTCGGATTAGATTTGTTTCTCTGGTTTATATACCTGGGGTATTCATGCTATTCTATGCTGGGACTAACTTGGTTGTTTGTTCTTTTTCATTTGGGGGGGGTGATTTAATAATGACCCTCTAATGGGAGGAAGTTAAGCTCTTCGCTCTGGGGGATTGTCTAGGGTATATTGAGCAAAGAAAAGAAACAAAAAGGGATAATAAACATATAGAGTGTGACGAAAACGAGTAACGCAAGGTCGCCTTTATGAGATGAATCTCATGCATTATTTTGAAATATCACGAGGCAGATGAGATAGATGCCTAGCAACATCAATAAAAAAAGAACAACGAAGAATCCAACCCAAAATCCAACCCCCATCCCAAATGATACCACACTCCTAAAAGGAGACACGAACAAATGACTAGGATAGGGATATTTAGATAATGTATATTAAAGGAAAAAAGAAAAAAAGAAAAAACCCTAACCCCCTATCCCCTTACCCCCCCAACCCCTCTAACCTCCCCTCCAAGCCCTTCACCCACGGTCCCACAACCTCCATATTCCCCTTCATCACCCCCTCACACTCCCTCACCTTCCCCTCCACAACCGCCAACCCCTCCCGCCACTGCTCAATCTCCCTCTTCATCTCCGCCTGCCTGTCCTCCAACGCATCCAGGTCCTCAGCCGCCCGCGCCGCGCCCGCATGGATCGCGCGCAGCGAGCGCAGCCGCTCCAGCACGCTAGGGAGTAAGGGGTGGAGCGAGGTTATGGTTGGCAGGGTTGTGTAGAGGGCTTGGATCTTGGCGGCTTGTTCGCTGGCGGCGGAGTCGGTTTCGGTGGCGGAGAGGGAGGAGAGGGAGGGGGCGCCGGCGGCGGGGTGGTCGGTTATTGTCATTGGGGCGGTGGTGGCTGGGGTGTGTGCCGTTGCTGATGCGATGGTGGCTCCTGCGGGGTCGTCGGCTGTGGCGGCGGCGATGCGGGCGGCGATGACGGCGCGGGCTGCTTCGGTTGCGCGCCGGCGGGCGGAAGAGAGGGCGTCGGCGTCGGCGGTTAGTTTGCGGATGCGTGTTGTTAGGGCTTCAAGGTGTGGGGTTGTTACGGTGGTGGGTTGGGGCTGGTGGGATTGAGGGCCGGGGATGGAAGCGGAGGGCCCGGTTAGAGTGCTAGAGAGGGTGGATAGTTGGACGGTGAGGTGGTTGAGGGTGGGGAGGATTGGCTGGGGACCCGCGGAGTCATCTGCGGAGTGAGGGATTGGGGTGTTTGGGATGCCTAGAGCTGCTTCGAGTAAGGTAAGACGAGCGTCGAAGGCGGCAGCGTTGGATAGGAGACCAGCAGGGATATTGGATTGAGGCCCATGGAGCAGTTCATTTCGTTGCTTTGCGGCGTGGACGGTGGGCGGGATGCTGCCTCCTAACTTTTGCGAAAGTATCTCCTCCGCAGTCATAGGGCCTGCGCCGCCTCGTGAAGAGGTATGGAGACTGTCCAACGCCCGACTTAGCTCCAGCACGCCATTGTCCAGGTCGTCCTGGTGTTGGTGGTCACCCTCCGCTGAATCTCCAGCACCAGTGGTGGTCTGCGTATCCCGTTGGGCGGCCTTCCGAGTAGCCAACTCTTCTTTTAATTCCTCCGCTTCTCTGCGCAACCTGGCTAATTTCCGTTCTAGAGACTCGTCTTCCTCGTCGCTGACGTCTCCTAAGATTTCTGTCCCATCTTCCCGCCGCTGTCTTCGCCGGCTCATCGCCTTGTATGACGTCCTTTTGGACGCAATGCTGTCAGAGAAGTCGACCCCGCGAGTATCTAAACGCGACGAGAGGAAGTGTAATCGGGCCTGGTCTGGCTGAAGACGCTGACGGTCAATTTCCGGGCTGGTTGATTCATCTTGGAAAGGAGACAGGGAGCGGACGGTGGCAGTCTGGAGAACTGGTTAGACCAGGCTTTTTTAAAACCCAAGGATAGAGCAGCTCGCCCGCCGATACAGGCATTTTGTGTAAATTGGGCATCTTACAGCCAGAGTAGACCCGTCAGTGAGCTCAGGGGTTTCGTAGATATCTGGAGCCAAATCCTGGTTGAAGATAAGTATAAAGAATCCATGGTTAGCAGAGGCGAGGCACCGAAGCTTATGGCTAGGGGGCAGGATATATATCGCACCAAATCGGGCAGCCCAGCGTATTTCTTGTTGAAAGCCATTGTGGCATGTAGATATTATCGTTTGCGCGATGTCGGGGCCCTCCTCCGTCTGTCTGTCCTGGAGATAGCCTGTTGAAGTCTGTGTCTCCTCCTGCTCCTATTGTTGTTGTTGTTGGTTTGATGTGTCTGTATAATAGTAATACTCTCTCGCTTACAGGCTTGAAGTTAAGGAGAGCCATCATTGTCACGTGGTGTGGGATGGATGGGGAAACATTTCAATCACAACGGAAGACGATCGATCAGTCCGGTTTGATATATAGAGTAGGGTATTTAGCTGGATGGATGGATGGATGGATGGATGGTTGGATTTATTTATTTATTTACTTAGTTTTATTTCTCTTGATCAAGAAGAATAGCTCGCTTGAGAATTGAATGCCTCCTCAACAGCGACAGAATCAGGGCCTCAGCCAGCTGTCCAGTGTTTTGCAATCTCTTGTTGAATCCAGGCTTCCACCTAATAATAAATGTGTTATTATTATATGCTCACAATATCGTTCCTATCCCTAGTGATCTCTCACATCCGTACTCTGCACACACCGTGTCACGTATACGCGACCACGCGTTACGCGTATGACGCGTTCATACGCGTAACTCTCAGCATGCCTGTGTATTCTGAGAATCACCCATCTTTTCTCATCTTTTCTCATTCTTCTCCTAGCTATTCTACTTAAAAGAATTAACTATCTTTTATATTTCTGATTATTTAGTGTAATAATAATAGCATGTCTATATAATAATCTTAGTTAAGAATATCTTAGTTAAAATACTACTGTAACTATTATTATAAAATTACTCTAAAGTTTATAATAAATACTGTAAAAAGATTAAGTACTTACTAATATAAAATAATTTATTAAAACTAATTACTATAATATTAACTTTTACTATTAAAGTTAATTTAATCAGAGATCTTCTATCTGTTATTTATCTTTTATAAGAAGTTTTAAAGTAACTTAATATTTATAATATTTCTATTAATTAATAGTTTAACTGAAGTTTCTTTATATTAATTATTAATTATTCTCTGATAAAATATTAAAGAATTAAAAGAGAAGTTACTCTATATTTCTCTTTTCTTTCTCTATTATAAGTAATTTAAAATCTTTTATAAATATATTAAATAAGATCTTCTCTGTAAGAAATCTATATTAAATAAATTAGTATAATATATAAATCTTATAATATAAAAGTAGAAAATATTAAAGAAGAAAAAAAGAGAAAGTATAGAAATTAGTAATAAAAGTGAATATTTATATATATATATAATAAAGTTTTAAAATGAAAGAATAGAAATTTTATAAGTTTTTCAGCTGAGAATTAATAACTGAGAATTAGAGCTTTTTATAACATAGTAAAACTGAAGTGATAACTAGTTAGTAGTATTATATAAAGATAGTTATTTAAAAAGCTGTATAAGTAAGCTTAACTATCTTACTTAAATAGTGAGCTCATGAGCTACAAAGTTATTACAAGAATATTACAGATATAATACTTAGTATACTAAGAAAATTGTATAAGAAACATAGTAACTCTTGTATATATTTCAGTAGAAGAAAAACAAATTACTAATTTCTTTAATAAGAAGTCAGTATTTAGTTATTCTATATAGATAATAAGTGAATACTCTTCTCTTATTTTATAAGTAAGAATAGTTAAAGTAATATCTCAGTTAGACTGGCTGCTAGAACTATGAATTTCATGTTTAATCTTATTTAATCTGATTTCATACATTTCTTGATGTGAATTCCGCTGGGACTGACTATTAAAAAAACATGTAAAGTGACTATATATCAGATCTTAAAATAGAACCATGACTTGAAAAAAATAAGAAAGTGATTTCATTTAGTCTCATTTAGTCTCATTCTTAGTATAAAGTTACTATTTTTAGACATTTTAAGGTTTTTTTAGACTATTTTTAATTTTTTAAAAAGTAACACTTTTTGATAATACTTAAATGAGATTTAAAGTCATTTAAAGCAATAAAAATAATTTAAATTGAGAAGTGGAAATTATGATTTTATTTGAAAAATGTGATAAGAGTAGACAGTAAGTTCTACTGAAACAGTATGAGACTACTATCTAATGTTAAAACTGTGTAATGAAATCAGTTGAATTGATAATAAGACTATCAAAAAATCTGATTCTGGTCTCAGACACGGTCACACAGTCAGTCTAATCTCAGTAGTATCTCACTGCTAAGAAAGAGTAATCTGCTAATCTTATATAAAAGTAAGATTCTTATATTCATCAATTAAATCTTTCTATAATATATTTGAATAATGTTATAAAGTGATTGAAAATCAGTTCAGACAGAATGAAGTTATTTATATAAAAGTAATAAGTTATATAAAATTATAACAGAGTCTTAACATAGCTGAGAGTATAATAATACTCTTCTCTTTAAGAGTATAGTTCTGATGCTCTCAAGATTACTGAATTAGAAGTTATGTTTGTAATATAGTAATAGTTATCAAATGATTTAACAGTATATACACTGTATATAATACAAAGAAATAGATGAGTTTTTCTGCTGACTATATAAATCTTTCTTTCTTATCTCTATTTAAATTAATTATGTAATAAGTGAGTTTCTTATATATTAATTTAAAATGTGAAAAATATAGTTAATAAGTGACTTATAGATCACTTATTATATTTTATTCTATATATGAAATTCTCTGCAAAAGTGATGTATTTTAGAGACAAGTTAACAGTAGTAACAGAATTTTTTCAAAAAGATCTCTCTCTCTTATAACATATTTTTTTCTCTCTCTCTCATCTTTAATAGTGAGTGTATGAGAGTATTATTCTTGAAAGATAATAAAGAGCTTATTCTGATATTTTCTAGTAATTAAATATCTTTATGATGCAGCTGCAGTCTTTATAACTGTTAAGAAAGTCAGGTTGAAGATAGAGACAGCAGTATCAATGAGCTGCAGAAGTACTGTTTTTATTATCATATCATCTTCTTCTTCTGCTTCTCTTACAGTTACAGTAGTAGTTACTGTATCTTATAGTAAGATATTATTTCTTCTATCAGTCAGTTTATCTGCATTCAGTTCTTTCTCTGTCTCTCTTATTATTATTATTATTATTATCATTATTATGATTATTCTTCAATTATAGATGTATACAGTCAGAGACTATGATATCTACCTGAGAATTAAAAGTTCTCAGGGTTTTTTCTATATCTATAAAGATAACTATCATACATTCATCAATTTCAGATATGCAAAATCAGAAAATTTCAGCTCAGAATACAAAAACTGTTTATAAATTACAGTGTTTTAACATCTTCTGATACTTTGAAAGCATTTGACAATATCATGATAAAAGAAAAGAGAACACAGTCTTAAAGATAGACACATTAAATAGATAGATAGAAAAGAATAGAAAGGAAAAAATAAAGTAAAATAAAGAGAGACTGTAAGCAAACAAATTCTCAAAAGATAGTATATAGCTGTTGTAACAGACTATATCTGATCAATTTCCTTCTCTTCATATTCGGATATTTCTGAATTCAGTCATTTTCTTATAGCTGCTTGAGTTTCTGATAGAAAGTCTATTAAGTATTTAATTCCTGTCTCAGTTGAGAATAAGAATCTTATATTTAATTGATTTAGATCATACTTCTCTTTCAATCTGACTCTGAGACTATTGTATAATGCACAGTGTATTATAATATACACAGAATTCTCATTTGTATTGCAGAATGAGCATTCTATTGAATCAAATCTATCATCAAATCTTTGCATATAAGATTTGAAATAGTCATGCCCTAGTTTTAGCTGTATTATAGATGAGAATATTTTCTTTTTACATTTAATTGAACAAGATTTTCACTTGAGTTTTGTTTCAAATCTTGAATAATGAATACTCTTCTTTTGTTTCTGTCAGCTTTCATTTCACTTGTGTAAACAAGATTCTTTTATTTTTCTCTTTATAAAAGATCAGGATATAATTTTTTGAATAGATCTGCTTAGTTCTGAACCTTTTTTTACAGCTGAATCAGTCAATTCATTGTCATGAATATTCATATGAGCAGGAACTTAGTGTAGATGAATCATCAGCTTTGATATTCTTCTCTTTTGAATTTTTAAAACAGAGTTTAAGATCAGTTCAAGATTTATTTGATTATTATGAATCTGACTATTTCTAAGTCTTTTTAAAGCAGCTTGATTATCAGAGAATATTTATACCTCTTTCAAACTGTTTTCTCTTTTATAAGATTTTATTTCAATAAGTTTGAAAGCTTTCACTATTGCAAATAGTTCAGCATCAAAGACTTCAGATTCACAGCCTAGATTTCAGAAATCTGAGATAAAATTAATATTATCTTCAGTATAAGCAATGCCTGCATCTAATCTATTCAAATTCTCATTTTTTGAGTCATCTGAATAAATCAGAATAGAGTCTTTTATATTGATTGTAGAAATTCTCTTCAAATGCTGTTCATATTCTTTCTCTTTAGATAGTTCAATTATTTATAAGTCTATAAGAGATTCAAGCTTTTCTCTTCAGAGAGACAACTTCTCATGATCAACTTTTTCAACATTTAAAGAAGAAAATTGATTTTTAATTAGTGAGCATAGTCTGTACAGTTGAGAAGACATTTTCTTTGAAGAATTATTTTCATTTCAATCAAGAAATCTATTTCAATTCAGTTCATTTTCAGAGTTAATTAATGAAAATGAAGAAGAGACTCTTTCTCTGATTATATGATTTAAGCTCATCTTTATAACTTTCAGAGCATAGTTCATACAGGTCTTTTCAAATCTAATAGCAGAAGAAGGAATTGAAGCTTCAATTTTCATTGCTTTAATAGAAGATGATTTAAATACTTCTAGAATTCTTCTCAAAACTCTGTTTTGCAGACTTTGAAAGAGTTCAGTAAAATTTTCTTAATTATGTTATCAAACTTGAACTTCATAATCAGCTACTGAGGTAATACAGGCTATATATAACTGTCTCATAGCCTGGAAGAATAGACCTCTCTATTATTATTATTATTATTCTTCAATTATAGATGTATGCAGTCAGAGACTATGACATCTACCTGAGAACTAAAAGTTCTCAGGGTTTTTCCTATATCTATAAAGTTAACTATTATACATTCATCAATTTCAGATATGCAAAATCAGAAAATTCCAGCCCAGAATATAAAAACTGTTTACAAATTGCAGTATTTTAACATTCTCTGATACTTTGAAATCATTTGACATGATAAAAGAAAAGAGAACACAGTGTTAAAGATAGACACATTAAATAGATAGATAGAAAAGAATAGAAAGAAAAAAGTAAAGTAAAATAAT